TCCACACAGACGGCTGCACTGATGGGACATTCATTAGCTGGACCTGATACGGACCCTATTAACCTCCCCAAACACACACACATACGCAACCATCTTATCAGAAAGCTATTCTGGAACAAGATCCTCAGACGCTGTTCTGCTTTGTCACTGATGCTTGTATCACTGTCGTCTCATTTGCATTTAGCTCAGTAATACGTTCAACACAGTAATACATTTGTCTGAAGCTATATTCATCATACGCAGCTCTATAATTTCCATTAGCTTAGTGCACAAAGTGGAGATAATCATCACTATTTAAAAAAACACTGTTAAAATCGTACACATTTTAACTCACACAAAGAGAGCATGTCTACTTATCTGTGACTGGTTAAATGTGAATTGATAGCTAACAGTGTTTCAAAAATTAAACAATAATAATAAAAACTTATTCACAGCAAAAGGAACATAAAATGTACACTAATCTAATGCACATCTCCAGCATTTTTAGAAATATTTTTCACATTTTTAGAAAGAAACATTACCATTTCAGATCAGATTTTTTTTGTAAGAATTTGATACTTATATTCAGCAAGCATGCATTCAATTAAAAAGGACAGCAAAGATTTTTACAATGTTACAAAAAGTTTCAAATATAATTTAATAGAATAGGACATAATATTTTCAAATATTACAATTACATTTTAAAATGCATTAAAACAGAAAAATATAATATTTCAAAATATTACTGTTTTTAATGTATTTTTGATCAAATACAGACTTGGTGAGCTTAAGAAACTAAAAGATTCTTTCAAAGCTGATTTATGACTGCATGTTTATGAATGAACAATATATATACTTGAGCAATTTCAATAGTTATAGATGATCAAAAAACTAAATATAAACAGACTGACTAACCTTAATTCACAATTATAATAAAACAAACTGTGACGCTACTGTTGTGATTCATTCATCTAGAAATATAGATGATGTTTATTTTATAACTAATTGGGTTTTAGATAAACAGCGACAGAAATGATCTGAGATCATGTAATAGCTACCAAACACAGCGTGTTTTCTTTAATGTACCATTTCTAATGAGTTTATCAAAAATACTTGATATTACAATAACAGATTGGTGTGGAAAAATCAAATAATTCAAACAAATAGACAGCAGTGTCAGTCCATGAGCATCTGTACGGAAAACCTTGTTAAAATGTGTGTGTAGATAATAAAGCAAATCAGACTGAAACTGCCGATTTCAGTCAGATCTCGTCAGTTTTGTGTGCAATGAGCATCAAATGGTCTATTGACTTTCACCTTCCTCATTTACTCCACCTGACTGTATGCACTGCACTTATTCATCCAGAGACTTAGAGTTTAAAGCCAGAGCTCAGAGGAAGAGCGGAAAGAGCAGACAGGGTCAAGATCAGAGAGGTCAGAGGTCAAACCTGTCTGAGCAGTGACGTGCGTCTCCTCCTGATGGCCGTTAGACGAGTGACCAGCACTGACCACTGAGCTCTGCTGGTCCTCCCATGTCACCTCTTATCATGCAGGCCATTGACACAGAGACACAGGCAGCGTTAACATACGGCTTGACGTGTGCCAGAGAAACTGAGGGATTGTAATGCCCCCATTTTTGTGCAGGTACAGTGGACAAATATATTTGAACACTTACAGGTAAGTCAGGCTTGAAAATATAAATGTGACATTGAAACAATATTAATTAAGGCTCAAGTATCCAAGAACATGGGGTTTGATATTTTGTGTCTAATACAATGCATTAAGACTGATTAGATATTCAAATACTTTTTCATTTATCAATGTATGTTACTGAAATACAGTATTATTCTTCTGTATTTAGTTTTTGCAAAAAAAGTACATTAAGTTAGCCTTGTAAAATAAATGAAAAGGTTGAAGAGGTATACAGAATAATTCTGGTGATATTTCAGCACTAATGCATTGAACAGCTCCTTTCTACACATGATTGTGCGTCATCTGCTGGTTAAACCATGGAACTGCATGCTACTAATCAATTCGGTCAAAAGAACCACTGATTTACATTTATATCAACATATGAAATTCTATAACATCTAGATTTCACTCTGTAGCATGAGTAAAGAAACATTGTAAAATGACTTTAAACAGAAGTCTTTTAAATAAGATCTGGCTGTATTTAGAGTAGAAGTCACTAGCTATAGTGCACAACATTTATCCAGATACAAGCCAGATCAATTGAATTCAACACAATCTCTCTAAATGTCCCTCATTATTCACAGCAAAACGCATTAACACAATGACAACCCACACAAGAGAGAATATATGAGAGTCATGAAGAGGGAGAGACTGACCTAGAAACAGACAGAGAAAAACCTAGAAACCGACTCATCTATGCAAACAGAAGTCCTTTAGTTTTTGAGTAAAGAAAATACATTTTAAAGATGTAAGGACTGGGTGATAGGTAAAAACTCCGTAAATTAACACAAGGAACAATCATTAAACATTTGTAATTCATATTATGTACCAATATAACAACACATACGGTAGTAATAAATAGCTATATTTAGCTAAACCGCATAACAGAAATGAATCAAACTTAGCCAACTCTAACCCTAAACTCACTTTTTTGTTTTTGGTATGCACTAGAATTGCAAATTAAGATAGAAAATATGGTCAAGTTTGATTTCACATTCAGAATTTAAAATGTAAACACATTGTGATTACTTGATATATTACCAAGCCCTAAAGGTGAGGAAACATCCTCTTAGAGAAGAAGATGAAGAGGAAAATACTGCAAAGCTACACCGCAAACACATGCCTGGAGAGACTTGCCTTTCCTGCCGTTGACCGCTGGGCCGTTCGGCCTCATTTCATAAGCTTTAACACAACAAAAGAGCAATGGAGTAAAAACACTGCAAGAATTCCCACAAATGCACAAAATACAAGTCAGACTTCAAATAAATATTCCTCGACACTCATTTTGAGTGTCATATGAAAAAATGAGAGATGAGAGTACTTCAAACAGCTGATGTAGTGTAAATACCAGTTGGACAGAAAGCAGAGATGGATGCTGGGAAAGTGGCAGACGCACACACACTCCCAACAGACCAGATCTTGTGACAAATACGACGGATGTGGCAGATGGGAGTGGAGGAAGTGCGATCGGTTAGAAACGTATCTGTGTTTGTGTCTACAACTAATTTTTCATTTACAAACCTAAATGAGACGCAAACCTGAAGTTATGTATGAACTGACTACAAAACAGAACTCAGGTCTCATGGGCCAGTTTGGGGTTTTGAGTACCAGATCTCTATAATATACAGTACCATTTGGAGTCAGTTCATACATAATCAGTTAATGTCAGATTTTTTATTTTTTTATTTAAAAAAATGTGCATTATACTTCTATTCATCAAGGATGCAATAAATTAATAAAAGGTGACAGTAAAGACTTTTATAATGTTACAAAATATTTATATTTCAAATAGTTGTTCTTTTAACTTTCTAGCCAGCAATTAATTCTGGAAAAATGTATTACAGTTTTCACAAAAATAATAAACTGCACTGTTTTCGACATTGATGATAAGAAATGTTTCCTGAAATCAAACAATCTATCTATCTATCTATCTATCTATCTATCTATCTAACCTAGCACCCTACACCCTAGCAACTGCCTTGTGTACCCTAGCAACTGCCTAGCAACACCCTAGCAACCACCCTGGGTACCTTAGCAACCGCATAGCAAAACCCTAGCAACTGCCCCAGATACCCTAGCAACTGCTATAGTAACCACCCCAAGTATCCCCGCAACCACCCCAGGTACCTTAGCAACTACATAGCAACACCTTAGCAATGACACGGGTATCCTAGCAGCTGCATTTCTATCTATCTATCTATCTATCTATCTATCTATCTAACCTAGCACCCTACATTCTACACCC